AAAAATCTTACACGCATGACATTAACAAGAGACTTCGTCAGAAATCGATATACTCGCACTTTACCGCCGACAATTTTGACAAAAATCTTAGGACTTTTTTTGTGTAATAATTCTTTTGTGTCATATATATGACATGTAATGACATATTTGTAACTTTAAACGAAATATAGACGGAATTTAATTTATTCTCAAATTATTTTAATAATCAATTTTTCTTTATTACATTTTATTTTATGGACACCTTTGGTTATACTTATAATTAGTCTAAAACGATTTAAATAATTATAATTTCTAATACTTATATGTGGCGACACATTATTCATTTCTTTTCATTTTACTTTCCATTATTTTTCATTATATTTTATATATTTGTAGTATGTATAAAAAATTTTACACGTAAGTCAGTTATCATATAAGACTAAATTATTATTATTCATATTAAATCTAATATATTTGTAATAGTTACTAAGGACTTTTAATATAATTACTAGAGGATTTTTTAAAGAAACTGACTTAATTTCAGATAGTTAATTTTAGGTATAGTTTACAAAATTAATTCCATGAAATGATTACAATATAATTTCGCCGAAATATTAAAGAAAAGCAAATTGTTCGAATTCTAGTTCGCCGTGCTTACGAGAAGAACTCTTATGTAAGATGTCGGAACCAGTTAGAGACTGTGGCCATAAAGTAACTATTGTTGGTGCTGGTATGGTTGGCGTTGCCCTTGCAAATTCACTTCTTTTTCAGGTAGTTTATTCCTTTAAATCTTTTTAGTTGAAATATGATTTGAATTATAATTACTTACTAAATTTACTTCATTTCAAATTAAAATTTGTGTATTATAAATACAATCAAAGAAAATGCATAAACATTATAATGTATATTTGCATTATATGTGTAATGATATTTTATACATCATCCATTGTGCTTTAAATAAACGATAGAAATATTAAAATTTAAATTTTTAATGACATATTTTGTAAATTTGTATTATTATTTTATTAAATATTAGCGAATTACTTCGCATATCGCAATGGTAGATGTTTTTCCTAAAAAACTGGAAGGCGAAGGAATGGACTACAGCCATAGTTCCGTATTTATAGGAGATCCAAAGATCGAGTATGATACAGGTGAATTCATTGAATATGTATTAGTTATGCGAAAATCGTAAGTAGATTTATTTGTTCATGTGCAAATGTATATCGTAACTGTATATCTTATAAGAATATTACGAAAAGAGTCTAATTGATTTTTCATGTACAACAATTTTTTTACTAGTATTTAAAGACGCAAAAATATCTCTTTTGTAGATTTTTGTGTGACGAGTAATTCGAAAGTCATAGCTATTTGCGCGGGTGTACGACCAGTGAAGGGTGAAACTCGACTCGACTTGGTGAAAAGAAATACAGAAATATTAAAAAGCATAATACCACCTTTAGCAAATTACAGTCCAAACGCGGTGTTTATTGTCATTAGTAATCCAGGTTAAAATTAATTAATATATTAAATAATTTTATTATTTATTATATAAGAAACAAAGATTTTAATAAAAGTAACATTATGAATATAGTATTTAAAAATTTCAAATGTTGCGGATTAGATATTTATTCAATATTTCCCTAAAAAAAAATCTTGATGTTACACATGAGAAGAAAATCATTTTTTCTGTGTAATATACACATAGTATGATTAATAGTATAAATATTTATTGATATTTAATAAAAATTGAAATGATTTTTTTATTTAAATAAACAATAAAACCTTCTTATTATTAATAATATCTATGTTTATAATGTCTATACAAAAAAATTTGATAAATTATAAATGCGATTTATAGTGGATATCTTGGCATGGGTCACCTGGAAATTAAGTGGACTTCCGGCCCATCAGGTAATCGGTAGCGGAACTCATCTGGATAGCGCAAGATTTCGCTACATGATTGCTGATCGATTAGGAATAGCGCCGAGTTCGGTCCAAGCGTACATCATTGGCGAACACGGGGACAGTATGGGTGAGCTCTAGCGATCGATCTTTGACATTTGACACGGGGAGAAAGGCGACGTTACGCATTAAATCCGATCTATCATTCGATGTTTCCTAGTTCCGCTCTGGTCTGGAGTGAGCGTTGCAGGAGTGCAGTTCCGCGATGTTATCCCGAATATCGGTCTCGAGACGGATGATGAAAGGTGGTTCGAAATATCAAAATATGTAGTGAAACTGTAAGTTCTATAATTTTAAGTGGACAGAGAAATTATTAGTTGTTATGAAACATCAATAAGATCAATAATATCTATCAGCAATCAATTGTTGCAATCAATTGATTTGCATACTCGTCGGATACCTTATTTGAAAAACTTCAATTTCTTTTATAAAAAAAAGATTTAATTTATAATTTAGATTTATATATTCTACAAATAATATTTAAATAAATTATATTGTGATGTACAAAATCAGCGAACAATTACAATTGATACGTGTATATATATATATTATATTTAAACAATAACTTTAATTAAAAAGAATTCTTGCAACATTTTGTAAGAATTTAATATTTTTTATTTTTTAGGGGTGCCATGGTACGTTGTCTGAAAGGTTACTCAAATACAGCCATTGGACTTTCTGCAGCCGACATCATAATAGCTATATTACGCAATACACAAGCTATTATACCAGTTTCGACCTTAGTGCAGGTATAAATACTACAAATTATATATTTGCAATAAATTTACAGTAATAATCTACAATTTAATTTTTGAAAATACACAAAAAAGGTTCGTGATATTAAATATTAGCTGATACGATTCACGAATAAAATATTTTTGGATCGATAATCAAATGTAGTAACACGCGCGTATTGCATTTTGTATATTTTCAAAAATTAAAATAAAATATTTCTAAATAAAATATAACGTTCAATAAAAAAAAAATTAATATTGGTATGCAAAACTATTATGTTCTACATTAATCAAAATTATCTTCTTAGGGCCATCATGACGTATGTCACGATATGTTCTTGTCTCTACCTTGCGCGATTGGCGAAAATGGTATCACACAGATAATACGAATGCACATGACTGAACACGAGAAAAAGCTGTTCCAGGCTTCAGCGAAAATTGTGTACAAAATACAAAAAGATATCAAAATCAAATAGTTTGAGTAATGCGTGAGAAGGGATCTTGTGAACGCATTTAATTCCTTGTAAAAAAAATACCGAGTGTAATAAATCATACGTAGCTTGTCCTAGTACTTCGTACCGTTACAATTGGCACCGCAAAACCATTTACTGCACAACTAAATTTTTTTCCGACTCGTGCAGGGTGACGTGCGGCAACCGCGAATGCTCCGATTGCTAATTTATACGAATCAGCACGAAGATTACCAACGGATTCTCCGAATTATATTCTCTCGAATTTCATGATATTTTGAATCGCTGGAATGATCCTCGAGAATGACGTTATTCTCTGATTAACGATCTCCAGATCTTTCAGATCCTGAAATTCTCGAGCCTGACGAATTGATGACATCAATGACTTATTTTATAACACCTGGCAATGTCTGGCATACGTGACGTTTTGTTGGCGCAACTCGAATCTCTTGTTACTTCCGAGTAAAGCCTTTCGGTGAACTGCGGCTTCATATTTTCGGATTTTCCCGTTGCATAAATATCATTGGCACCTCCAGAAAGCGGTAAGAGCGCACGTCATCGTGTTCGCGGCGCGTGAACGAGCGAAAGGTGACCGGTGGATGGTACCAGAAGGCCATTATTACGCCGCTGGCTAGGCCACGGCAAGGTGAGAGAAGGATGCGAAAACTGTGCGCAAGATGGCGTTTTGGAAGTGCTTAGTACCTGCGAATATATCTGCAACCACTTGCGTTTGAACGGCCGCACAGGGCCGTAAGAGAATCCGCTCTATCCTTGGAGGAACGAAGCATCGCGTAACGAAACGATCTTGATTTATCGTCAGACATACCGTAATTAGACATACATTAATGCTAATGATACGGTCGATGAATATATAAAGGAGGGGACAATGAAAGGATGATTCAGAGCCGGTGCGCAAAGAATAATGAAATGTGGAAACTTCTGGCGGTGTTAACATCGAGGAGGCGAGAGCGGCACTTTGAATCGTTCCCCTTTTACTCGCCGCAGATCCACTTGAAAGGCTAGGCGTGTCGATTGATTTTAAAAGAGGAATTCCGTGTAAACCATATGTCACAAATGGTTACAACAAAGTTACATAAATTCCTAATTGACTTCAGATAAACGTGACCTAAGGTGACTCTGAAACAACAACATCTAATTCGATGGTGCGTCATTCGATGAATACGACAAACATAGAAATGGAGAGAGAATTACCATTTAAAGTGCGTTTACTATCTACTTATTACATTATGATCAATATCACTCAAGATATACATCAAATCGAGTTTATCCAACATGCAATCGATCTTCCGTCGCTTTATTTCTCAATCGCGAAAGCCTTATAATAGAAGATGTGTTGATTTTACATGATATTTCATGTGATTTTCCTGTGATTTTTTTTTGGTACTTTAAATATCTCTCGTAAAGTCTTTTTAATGCTTACGCTGCTATAAAATTTACATGGTGCATATATATCTACTGGCAATATTGAAGAATGAGGAAGATAAACATTTGATGGAATAACACAATCAACCAGTTTAAACAGTTTATATTCAATGTCTAATATTCCTAGTTCAACGAAAATTCGAAGTTTGCACAATTTCGCTATCGGAAATAACTTATCAAAAGATGCCTTCAAAATGATGTTTCGCAAAAATACACTTCTTTGCTCACTTCTTTCCGTCCAGTTCAGAGAGAAGCTCGACCCTTGAAACACTCTAAGCAGGTTTAATGCGAAATGGGTTCTGCAGGTGACGCTCACATCCCTGGCTCCCAGGTGGAGGTGGCACAGCCGGGCCCCATTCTCCGTTGGTCCCGCCGTCTTTAGTGGAGCTCAGTCAGTAGACAGTCGATCCGCCTGGTCAGCTGGTTTTAACCATTCGCGTATTATAGATCTTCCTCATGGTAAACCTATTGCGAGCGACTGGGTAGATCCCGATGCCGATCTCCTAGTGTCTACTTTCAAATTAAATTAATTAAACATTGGATAGAACATCAACGGTCCGCGCGCCGCATGTGCGCGAATGTGCAGCTTCACCGGAAATATCATCGACACGGTACGAAGGACCAGATCGTCTACAGAAGAAGAGACCGAGTTGAAGAAGAAAGAAGAGGGTAGCGACTCAGGAAGGAGATTGCGCGCGCGCAATCAGACAGGAAATGACTATATCGTACGCGAGCGAAGTGCCGAACGGCTCCAGCTTTGGCTGCTTCTGGAGGATTCTAATCAAGTAAGTCTCGCCACTCTCCAGCTCGTTTCAATATGCTGAATGAATTCATGTGTTTTTTTGCGGTTTGCGCTTGACGTAGGCACCAGAGCTGTCAACTCGCTGGCAGCTGACAGGTGAGACCGGTAATAGGCGCGTGGAGCCTTGGCAAGAATTGCTTTCCACGTATTTCTCAATTCTAATCGAATATAGATACATCGGTTGTTTCGTTTTTAGGCAATGTGCTTCTCGTGATTAATTTAGCTTAGATCTTAATATTTTATTTGTTATCATGCGAGTAATTTGCTTTCCCCAATTTTTTTATCACTTACAATCGCATCCCTAAAGATCGCAAGATCTACTTTTACTTTCGCCAAAGTGCATAAATTATGGTGATAGTATTTTAAACTGAACCGGAACGATCCGCGATGCCAACAACCGATTCGACGCGATTACACGATCGTTGCAAAACGTAGCAGTTTCGTGATATGAATTTGTCAATGAATATCGGATTATATCAAGGATTAAGATAATTTTTTGTCATATATTTTTGGTACAGAATGATCCATGAAATTAGACGGTCTAGACGTTTAGACTTCTGGACATGTAGACTGCATATTGTCAGTATGTCATGTAAGATGAAGACATTGCGCTATAACGACCGACTGATCGTTGTGCAACGTTTAACTTTCGACTTAATGTGCCACGCTCTCGATTTACAGCTTAGTTACACAGAAGGAGGTAAGAACAAATATCCTTAAGCAAGAATTTGGCAAATAATCGTGTCGAAAACAGGAAGATGACCGTTAAGTATACTAGAATTTGCGTATCAATCAAGAACGTCCAATAGTTCTACAATTAACCCGTCGCGTGTTTCGAAATCCGTCAAAGAATTACTATTGCCGGTTTGTAGTTAAATCGAAACATCGGAAGTGTTTTCAGTCAGTACAGAAAACGCGATTCGCTTGAATCACAGTAGCAGAGCACGTAAAACCCGCTAGAAATGGCGTTCGGTCAGCGCTTGTTCGCGCGTTTTAAGGAAATAAGGTCGCCGATACGTCGATTTTAAAACGTAGCGGCGCGCAAGACCGCTGTGTTCAGAATATATCGCCACTGAAAATTATTGCACTACTACAGCCCCGTCGGGTCGCGCGTCTGTTATCTGCTATGCAATGAGTAACAATGGCAATGTTTATGCTGGAGGGATTGACATGACAACATCGGTCGGACACGTGTTTAATCGAGCCATTCGTATGCATATGTAAACCTATCATATGTTCAAAGCGTAGTATCATTAAAGTCGTGTTTTCTAAATGAATGTGAAATCATATATAAATTATGTGACATCTCTCGCAGGTGTTTTTATTTAATTTGTAGGCAGTGCGATGAGAAAAACTGATTAACGGCGTAAGATTGTTCTATCAACGTATATCTTTTGAAATGATAAAAACGACAACAGATATTAGATATTATTGCTAATTATTAATCATAATTATTTAAACATGTAAAATTTTGGTATTATATACCTTTACACATTAATATTTCTGGATATATTCTGCGTTTATTGCATACTACTGTTAATAATATTGGACGTTTCGAAAAAACTTTTCGTTTTTATTTTAATTATAGTATAAATATTAAGCATTTATGCTATGAAATTATTATTCCAAAGAAATTCCTTTTTTTCTTCGTTTTAAGTCGTTATATAATCATTCTCGTAAATCAGTGTAATCGGTGACATCAATGCTTGTCGAGCGTCTACGCGATTCAGTGTCGACAATTACGTACGAAATTAAATGTTATGCAACGTGGAAATTTTTTAGAATATGATGTAGATATGAAAGTATGATAATATATAGTTTCGATGAAAATGATCCAAAATATTTGAGTATAATGACAGCATTAAAAAATTAAAAACGTAAAAACGTAAAAACGACAAACAGAATCACTTGATTAAACAGAAATCTATCTCGAGAATATCGATACGTCAATAGTTGCTTCTCTCGATAATTTTTTAAACATAATCGCAAAATGAAATGTGAAAAAGAACTATCTCATTGTGTTTGCTAAAATAATAAATGGAAGAAAAAAAGAAGAAGAGTATGAACAATATTTTCATTATTGTTAAATAAAAAGATATGACACATTTCTACATACAATACAAGCGAGTCCACCTCTTATCTGTCTGGATAATAACCGGAGAAACCATAAAACGAATGTGATAATTATGTTCTAAGTCGTTCGCATGGCATTAACTACTACCAGTTATATGAATGATTTGCGGAGGAACATATAACGGGCGTTATACGAATTAAATTAAATTAAATCCTCTATTCATATTATGGAATGTAAGATCGAAATTTATATTAAATTTTTTTTATTACTAAAAAAAACTTAATATATATATATATAGATGCAAAATATTCTTAAAAATTCGCTATATATATATCGTTAATTATGCTCTAAGTCGTTCGCATGGTATTAACTATTACCAGTTATATGAACGATTAATTTTCATATAATTATACTAGAAATATAAGAGTAAACTGAAAATGATTAGTTATAAGTATATGTGTGTAAAAATTAACTTTTCTCTGATATGCTACATATTTTATAAAGTTTAATAAAACCAATAAATATGTATGTTAAAAAAATTATCAATTTAAATAATACACATAATGACGTATCAAGATTAATGAAATTTCGCCCGTTTTACCGTGCTCATAAAAATGCATCTAATAGCACCTATCCTTTGCCATTCGTGGTGTCCTTGTCCAAGCCCGTTTGTTGACATTTCTACGACCTTTACATATTGTGTGGTATTGGTGGATGCTCCCTAGTCTCAGTTTCTCTCCGTACGCGCCTCGGTGGAAACAGCCTTAACGGCTTTCACGTAAGATCTCGCTTTCCTATGCGCGTTATACCACAACACTGCAGTAGTTAAAGGAAAGACGACAACGGCTGGTCTATAAATACGCAGGAATGTCCAGGAATAGAAAATCTTTCGCGGTAGCGTGCAAACGAGAGCGTATATACTTATAAGTACTCTATAAGTCGATTCCTCTGACAGAAATTATGATTAGTTGCAATCTGGCGGAGAAAGGAATGTCTAGTTATGTTGCTCGCATTTTTTGAAATTTCAGATAGAGGAAGATCACTGATATCGACATACTATTTTGTTTTTAGACAATATTTCTTAAAAGGTAAAAATACAACAAATTCAAAAACATAAATACAAACTAAAAAGTGTCTTCTATCAGATAGTATAAGCAGTTTTTATAATACTGTTTACAATTTTGCAATAATTAAGTTTTTCGTAAGTTATGCAAAAATGAGCGTCTGACAAAATGGGTCTCCAAAACTGACATAATAGGCAATAATGCCAACATTCCTATTCTATAAATAAAGATATATCCTATTCTGTAAAGAAAACTAATTTATGAAACTATAAACATTTAAAATGATATAATATTATCAATAATACAGTCACTATTATTTTAATTACGCAATTTGCAAAAGAACACCGTAAGAATTTTCTTCTCGGATTCATAGAATTGGTTTTTAGCTGATTTGGTATAGAAATAAGCCACAAATATATAAATTATGAGTTGTACTTCTTAGCTAAACAGATCACGTTTTTATTAGTATTAATAAAGTGCAAAGGTTAGTTTCTAAAAAATAAGGGGATGTCGCTTTAGGAGACCTATGTCAGTATCGGTGACCTTCCTCTATACAATTTTTAATTTATTAACAGTTTTTCGACCATCCCCTTCTCGTTCCCACGAATGGAGTAATTACTTCCATTCTGAATGATTAAAAACGGTGAAGTGTCGTGTACGGTAGGCGTCGTCTACATGAATTCTCTATCATACTATTTATGCAAAACAGGACGATCCTGCTTTACGATACTTCGTTGCCAACGTTTTGCTTCTTGAGATGCAGTAAAACATGTAGCTCTCCTTTTTTCTCGTTACAGTTTTCCGCGGTGACCCATACCAGCTTTCTTATCCGCCTACCGTTGCTGCTGGCAAAAGGAAACAGCATGATCGCCGTCTATAAATATCCGGGAGAGCCCCCGGAACATACTATAAATACGTAGTTGATATCCAGGAATAGAAAATCCTCTTACCTGCTTTTCCAGTATCCGCTGATAACAACCGTGCCGACGAATTCTCACACGTAGAGCAGATCTGTTACGAGGTTAATGATTGTTAGAACGATTTCTGCTACGCCGTGAAGAGACGCTCTTACACATATCTTACGCGCATGGCTAAGGGCCAATTCTCCCGTTTTTTTAAGGTTAAATTAACGTGAATTCTATCGATGTGATTTGTATTCCTAAGATATTTTTTCCGCCACTTCTTTTTAATATTCTTACACGGAAAGAATGATTTTGCTGAAATATCTAAAAATTTAACTAGATACAGATCTGAAAATAATATTCTTTGAACCATTAAAATATTTATGTAGGATGCTCAAATTGGTTGTTAGAAAATTAAAACGTTTTACAGCATTATCTTCAAGCAGCTTAAACGTTTTACATAATTATATTTTGATGACCCAACAAAATTATTTTTATAGCTTTATTTTTTGATATTTTACCATTTTTTCCATGCATGGAAATGCTTTTTTTATTTAGTAGATACATTTATGAGTTTTATAAGCAGACAAAAGAAATAGTTGTGCTTGTTCCACCTAGGATTTGTTAACAAATACGGAATATAGGGAATATTTCACGACGTGTCAACGATGCACAAAAGCGAAAAGAGAACCTTTTAAAGCCTTTTAAAACATTTTCATGCTTCGGTTATCGCCTTAGGCATGACGTTTGTTGCAACAAGTGCCTGCATACGCGCTGCTACAGCTGTCCCGATCACGCGCGCGAAATACTCGTAGCGCATGAACGGAAGAACCATGGCGGCGAATCGCACGCGTGAAAGCAAGAACGGTTTCACGTCGCCGTGGAGTTGCCGTTCATATAATATATAATATTGCTGCGTTTGCCTTCGTAGATTCATCGAGAA